ATGTGTTCCAGCTCACTTTGGATTTTCAGTCTCAACATTTTCTCCCAAAGAACCTTCTTTGGTATTTGGAATTTCACCACCAGCAGGTGAATGTTTCTGGGCCCAACAACCAATGCTTTCTTGACTCTGATGATTCTCAACCCAAGTCCTTCTAAGAGAGGTCAAGATGTCCACACTGGCATGTTGTATGTTACTCATCACTTCAGCAACCTCCCCAAAGAATCTGGTACCTTCAGGGATTCCTTCTATACACCATTATGTAGAGAGTTTGGTCTTCCTTGGACCAGGATCTGGAAGATCTGGAGTCTTGACACATATCTCTGTGATCTTGGTCAAGTATTTTAATCTCTCTAATTTTGCTTTCTTAATCTGTGCAATGTTAAAATGGATTGGGATCAGATAAAACCATGGAGGAGGTTATGCTAAGGAAGACAAAAAGTAGCAGAACCTCTCTGATTCAAGACCATTTTACTGCTGTGAGCAACAGTTCTATCTACAACTTGGGGAGCCTGGAAGGACAAAATGACGAAATAGTATGAAAGTGTCCCGAATAGCTATAAGCACAGATGTGTGGGAAGGAAAACATCTATTACAGCAACGAGGGGAAGTGAAGGACTCTCTCTACTTAGGAGGGAGGGTGGCCCCCAGAGTGCACTTGGAGCTTCCTGGAACCTTGATTGACTCTTGCTGTCACCTCTCACTCCTCAGATCTGGAAAGGGGTGAGTCTTAAAATAGTATTTCTTTCATAAAATCACTGAGTTGTGGGTTGAGAGCAATGGTAGGAGAGAAATTACCACCCACTCTGGCCTGGTAGCAAAATGGTTACGAATTAGGCGGCGAACAACAAGGTCAGCAGTTCGAAAATACCAGCTATTCCATGGGAGACAGATAAGGCTTTCTGTTCCCGTAAAGATTTACAGCCTTGGAAACCCTGTACAGGTTCGCTATGAATCAGAACTGACTCCACGCACATAAACACCACCACCTAGACTGGTGGAGTCACATTTTGGACAGACTGTCAGAATACCTAGTTCATTCTTACTTGATTTGAGTAAGTCAGGTTCACATCCTAAATCCAGGTTACACATACACCCTCTGGACGTCTATTAAACAAATATTTGTTGAATACCTACTGTCTATACAGAGATAAACATATTACAATTTGTGCATGAAACAGCTCACTAGTGGGGAGGCAATAATATATATATACGATAGGTGATAAGATA